TTCAGAAGCTCGCTTTAGGATATGGGTCGAGTATTGCTTCATGAAGGCGTTGGTCAGCTGATCAAAATTGTCTATTGAGTTCGGCTCAAGGCTAGAAAACCATTCGAGAGCTGTTCTGACCAAGTTTTCGGCGAATGTCCTGCAGTAACCTGCCTCACATTCTTCTCTCGTAAAGTGAGTTTTCACGATAGCTAATCGGAAGGCTCTCAAATGAGCCTTAGGATCTGAGGTCCCATCATATTTGGGAATCCTAATTTTTCGGGCATCTCTTATGTAATGAGCCTTAGGATCCCACGGGTTTCCTCAATCAAGCTCTCAATTTCGGGAGCTGAGCTCGTAGCCTTGTGGACTTGAGCATTCAACTTTTGGAGAGATGCATGCGTTTGCTCCATATATCTGTGGATGGCCTCAGGTCCCTCTAGAGGAAGGATAGTTTGGTCATCATTATGTATCTGACGGGGAGGTTCCTGACGGAGTCGAGTTTGGTCATTCTCCCAGGCATTTGGTGGGCTAAATTGCTCACTAGCTCTTGGGTTATTTTGAGGGATGCGACCAGTAGGGTGAGCTGTGGGATCAGCTTCCGTCCTTTGATGACCATCCCGATTCGGGATCGCGTTTCCAGTCTGGTAAGCCGAAGCTGACGTTCTTCCCCCAGGAGGGAAAGATCTTCCTTCTCCGGACCTGAAAACAGGTGGCGGAGGTGGCAAACGTGTGCTCTGCTTGTTACGATTGGGCGCAGAGCTGGTTGTCGCTACGTTACTTCTCATAGCGCTGGTTACAAGCGGGTTAAACGTGGGAGCTGTTCCAGCATGAGGTGTCTGGAGAACAGATTCATGCCCATCCGGAGCAGTGCTATCGGGGGAAAAATCTAGACGTCCACGAGGGAACGCGGGATCGGACAACCGATCTCGGAAAATGATTCCCAAGCCCCGGTGTTGCAGTGGCTCGGTTGTTGCGGTTAGAGATCTAGTTACTTCTTCAAATCGTTGCTGCCGAGCAGCTAGCTGTTGCAACGTACGCTCATTTTCCTGAGCTCTATCTACCCACTGCACCATCATTCGACGCATCTTAGATATCTGAGCCTCTGATTGGTTCAGAGCGGGCTGACGCTGAGGGTTCTCGGGGGCTGTAACCTCAGATTTGTTTCCACTGGAGGACCTCGGGTTAGTTATTCCGGTGGTGGTCTGGTTCGGTTGAGCATTAGCCGGAGGTTGTTGCTCAGATCGGTGATCGGCGGGTCGAGGCTCTAGGACCTGAAGATTCGAGTCTCTTCTGTTCGGTGAGCCATCGATCTGGATCACGGGATCAGGGATAGATGGGTTCGTTGCCTGGTTGGATGGATCCATTCTCAAGTTACGGAGTAAGGGATTCGATTATCTCTCCCCACAGACGGCGCCAAATGTGAGGGATAAAACTCACTTCCTAATTTAGATCAGGTTTAGATTGGAGAAAAGATAACGTGGGCTGAATCCCGTTAGAACTTTGTAGAATGAATATAATTGTATTGAATATTTTTGGCGAAGAATGAATACGAAGATGATTACAAAGTTGATTCTGATGATACAAAGAATTATGAGAATGATTTGTGAACTAGAATGTGTGTAAAAATGGTTGAATGAATGAATCGAGAGAGGACCCTTTCTCTGATCTCATCCTCTTCCTTAAATAGCTCTCAGACATGTTTGAACGATCCTAGCCAACCTCCGAGATTTGCTCCGTGAGTTGGGGGATTCTCAACAGTCTCCTCTTGACCGGGTCCTTCGCGTCCAGCCCGAGCTACTCCTGTTAGCTTTTTGTAAATGAGGTCCGGAGCTCTTTTCCGTGACCTATTTTGTTAATGTTTCTTCCTTAGCAAACAGCCTCCGACTTCTTTTCAACTCTTTCTCAAAAGATTAATCGCCAATGGGCTTACAGTGGCCCATTGTCAACTGTTAACGCTCGAGCCCATTAGTCTCAGCTAGCGGGCCATATTTGGGCCCAACAGTGATCAACAAGGAAGTTAAAGAACTTAAAAGGTCGCTTATTTCCCAGTGCTGGAGTTTCCAGAAGGACCTAACAGCGTGTGTGATCTGAGACACCGGAAGGTTCCACGCTTACATAGGACTGAGGAAAATGGTGAAGCCATTGATCATTAACAAGCACACGATCCAGTTTATTTGCAATAGGGTTCTCCTTTTGCTTATTTGTCCAGGTAAAGGTAGGTCCAAGAGAGGTGAGATCAGTAAGATTGCAAGCAGCTACTGCAGACTGAAAAGCCTGTATTCCATGGAGATTTTCGTTTGATAGAGTGCTGTTGAGGTCAAAATCAGTACGACGGAATTAATAGCCAAAACTCCCCACAGAAATACAAAAGGAGTAGTTTTATAAAACCCGAGGAGTAGTTTTATAAAACTCGAAGTCATTTATAAAACTCGAAGATCGTTTTATAAAACTCGAGAATCGTTTTATAAAACTCGAGATATCATTTTATAAAACTCGAAAAGCCGTTTCATAAAGCTTAAAGATCGTTTCATAAAACTCGAAGATCATTTTATAGAACTCGAGAATCGTTTTATAAAACTCTAGAAATCATGTTATAAAACTCGAAAAGCCGTTTTATAAAACTCGAGAAATCATTTTATAAAACTCGAAAGGCCGTTTTATGAAACCCGATCGAAGATCGTTATATAAAACTTAGAGATCGTTTTATAAAACTCGAAGATCGTTTTATAAAACTCGAGAATCGTTTTATAAAACTCGAGAAATCATTTTATAAAACTCGAAAAGCCGTTTTATAAAGCTTAAAGATCGTTTCATAAAACTCGAAGATCGTTTTATAGAACTCGAGAATCGTTTTATAAAACTCGAGAAATCATTTTATAAAACTCGAAAAGCCGTTTTATAAAACTCGAAGATCGTTTTATAAAACTCGAAGACCGATTTATAAAACTCGAGAATCATTTTATAAAACTCGAGAAATCATTTTATAAAACTCGAAAAGCCGTTTTATAAAACTCGAAGATCGTTTTGAAAAACTCGAAGATCATTTTAAAAATCGAGAAATCACTTTATAAAACTCGAAAGATGGTTTTATAAAACTTGAAGATCGTTTTATGAAATCCGAAGATCGTTTTATAAAACTCGATTTTACGAAACCGCAAAAAACCGAAATAGCCGTAAAACGCGAACTAGTCGCAACTAGTTCGCCGATGGGCGAACTAAGAGATACTGATCTTGTTCGCCAAACGGCGAACTAAGCCGGCCCGTCTTAGTTCGCCGATGGGCGAACTAGGAAGTGCTCAACTAGTTCGCCCGTCGGCGAACTAAGCCGGCCCGGCTTAGTTCGCCGATGGGCGAACTAGGGAGTGATCAACTAGTTCGCCCATCGGCGAACTAAGCCAGCCCGGCTTAGTTCGCCGATGGGCGAACTAGAGACTTCCCGGATACTCCGCGTCTCGATCTCCCGCATTCCCGATTCAAAACTTACGTCTTTCGACAAGGTCACGTTCTAAACTACGGCCGAAACATCTCCCGTTCCATCTCGATCCGACTTACCGTTCGAGTTTTACGATAAAAACCGTAAAACTTCGCTTTCTCGGAAAGAACTCGAGGAAATCGTATAAAACGGCAACGGTTAAACGAAACATCGAACATTGCCTAAACTATACGATTCGAGATTTCTCGTTGAAATCATAAAAACGCGTTTTTAATAAAAAACGCCGAGTAAGTCGTAAAAAACGTGTTTTTAATAAAAAGTCGAATAAATCCTTAAACCTTGCGATTAGCTCGAGGAATTTATTAAAAACGACGTCAGATTAGGAAACGATTCCATAAGAAGTCGAAAAACGGTTTTTATCGTAAAACGGCCCGGAAGGACCTAAAACGCGATAAAAACCCATCTCGCGATTTCAACGGAACCTAACCCGCAGATTTGATAACGTTCTGACGGTTTACTCGCAGAAGGAAAATAAAAGTCAAATTTGAAGATAAAAGGAAGGTTTGAAGAAAAACAGAAGTTTTCCGCGGAAGAAAAGGAAGGATCGAGAAAAATGGAAAATTCCCGATATGGTCGAATCTGGGCAAAATGGAAGGACCGATCGACCAAGGCGAGGAGTATATAAATAGGAGGTCTAGGGAAGAAGCAAGACACACGAAATTCAGAGCTCTCACCACCAAAACTAGCATTTAGGAATCTTTCCGTTTTTCTGTTAGCGAGCTGCGTCTCAATTAGGGTTTTTTGTTCTTAAGTTTCGGCTACTCTCTTTGTACCAGTTCAACGCAGATTCAGAATAAGAACCTCTTTGCTCTCGATTTTCGTTTATCTTTTAATAATTCTAAGTTTCTCGTTATCTTAATCTTTGTTGTGCGGTTCTGCAGATAGCCGGTTCCTCTGGAAGCTTAGGGTTTTCCCGAAGTTTCCTTTTTTACGATTATTTGACAGTAGGTGGATTTCGGTTCCCACAAGTGCCCCTAGAGTGCTCAGATGACGCTAGAGTTTCGTTGAAATCGCCCATCACGATCCATGAACACCAGTAAAAGCATACTGCGCTTTAACATAAGACATTTCGCTCCACAGGTGTTGCCTATCAGCTGCAAAATTTGAAGCATACACACAAGAACAGAGGAACTGCTTTCCCATGTCGGAAGTGACCCAAACGGTGACACATTTCCCGCCCAGCAGACCCATATTTTGCCTAGGTGGTGATGATCATAATTGGTAAGGAAGTTCCAGTGAGGAAGAGCAGAATTGAGAATAGATACACTGTTTTTTTCTTGAACACGAATTTCGACAAGACAACCAAAAGAGGGTTTTTCAGATTGAAACCAAGTGCGAAGAGCCGTTTTTTGCGCATATTATTGAAGCCCCTTGTGTTCCATGCAAATAATGATATCATCACATTAGTGTCTCCGTGAGGAGACATTATTTGTTTGCTTGTTCTTGGCACCCTTGATTGATCTTTCTTGTTCCCCGCATTCACATTTGGGTTACTTTTCTCATTATTCTTATTCTTGCCCAACTTCTATTTCTCTACTTGTTTCCTTTTCTCAAGAGCTATTTTAGACTCCACAGAACTTTCCTCTTCAGAGTTAGAGCTTTCATCCTCCGCATCCACCTCCTCCTCTTCGAGTTCAGTGCTAAGCAAATGGAATCGAGATGGTGAGCTAGTGATAGGAACCTCCAGCTCTGTACCTCAGCCCAACTTACCATTGTTCCGACTACCAGGAGGCGAGCTCTGAGGAACCGTTGACCATGGCCTCTCGTTCTCAGGTATGTCAATCTCTTTCGCTGCCTTGTCGGACACGCAAGCTGTCTTCTCGACTACTTCAGTATCTTTGACTACTTCTTCACTTACTTTCGTTGAGGATTTTTTTAAAATTGAAATTATACCCAAAACTATAATTTTATTCTGAAATCTGGATCCGAAACTTAAAAAAAAAAAATCATAATACTGAAAACACATTCGAAATACCGAATACATATCTAAAATATCCAAATATACCTAATATACACAAACATTTGAGGTACTTAGAATATTTAATTGGGTCTCGGGTAGGATCCGCAATTTAACAGTGACTCCTGGTCAAAGAAAAAATCAAATATGAACTTTGCCTTAAACTCAGACCCAAACCATAGCTATATTTCTCGGTGGATTTTGGTTTGATTTTACAGATCCGGTAAAATGTCAAGAACTAAAAAGAGTTATATAAGAATGAACATACAAAATTTTATATAAACTAATTCTTAACTTATATAATTTTAAACAAAGACACTTCTTCCATATAATGATTTTGTGACATAAAAATGATTTTGTTTGTGATCCAAAGAAAAACTCGCACTTTTGAAAGACGGATCAAAATCTAGTAATTAAGATTTGAGTTACCGTTTTGCATTCAGTTATTTATTTATGAACTGTTTTATATTAAAATAGTACAGATGACTGTAAGATACTAAAAACAACTAAAATATGAGTCACGCCTTTTAGTGTATATGTGTCTTTTAGTTATGATATATATATATATATATATACACTAAATTGTTTTTTTACAAACGTGCTAATTACATATTTTCATGTTATTAAATTAGAAAAAAATACCAAATATGACTCACAAATTGATTTCAAATGTAATAGTAAACCTAAATTTGAGTCAAACGCAAAAATAACTTAAAATACTACTGAAATTACAACAATCCTCTTCTGAACAAACAAACAAAACTGAATTTTGTTTACGTTTCTAACCCCGCAACTATTCTGTGTAGACGACTTACAAGTGAAAAATTGTAAGTCGTCTAGTATAGTTATTCTTAAAAATAATTTAAAATTTTTGTAAAAAATATTTTGATAAGTGAAAAATTGAAATCATGTAATTAAAAATGTTTTAAGAAATATAAATTAAGATATAAATTGCCAAATATGGTTTAGGGTCTTGATGACTTACTATTAAGTCGTCTGGTAAATATATTTATGGCAGACGACTTACTAGTAAGTCATCTGATGTATAGTATTCAACAGACGATAAGTCATCCAAACCGGACTGAACCTTTAATTTTACCATTGTACTTTTAAACCTAACCAGATTATTTACCGGACATATATAAGATGTTTTTAACTCACTTATTCGCAAAATTCAGAAAACCCTAACGTCGTTTCTATCAAAGGTGATTTCAAAGGCGATTTTCGTCGATTCTCTATAATCCATTGTTCTCACTGCCGGTTATCTCTCTGCCGTTATCACAATCGTTATCACCACCGTTCTCACCGCCGCTTCCTCTATTTCAAATCTGAGTGGAAACCCTAGCCCCGTTTCTCTGTAAATCCTAGCGCCATTTCGCGTTTCATTCGCACCGTGGATTCTCTGTAAACCCTAACGCCGTTTCTCTGAGAGGCGTTTTGTTGAACTTCACCGCCAGTAAGTTATATCTCTTAGTGTCGAGTGATTGATTGAGGAAAAGATGAACATAAAACGTTGTCTCTATCAATTTATGATTTAAGGTGTATCTATACTCATTCTCACCGTCGTTCTCATTGCACTTCTTTTTTCACGTCTATTTTTGCAGATCTATAACCGTTGTGTCAAAGGCGACAATATCTTCTCTGAATTTTCAGGTCGGATTTGAAATGTTTTACTGGAAGTCTGGGAAGACTTGCCAGACGACTTAATTGTAAGTCGTCTGGAAAGTCTTCCAGACTTATAATTAAAATGTTATACTGGATGGTTGCGTGTTTGATAAGGTTGTCTTTAATTTTTTTGCAGACAAAAAAAAGGATATTCCAGAACTCCCCCGTAGGATACATACATTAGGGGAAGAGCCTCCCGCATTGAATAGAATTTTGTATCATATGAATTGTTCGAAATTGCATACTGCTTTAAGGAAATCTCTTCATGATGACGAATATGAAGAGCTGAAGGAGTCTAAGTTAGGAGTTTTCATCAAGTTCAAAGAGCTGAGATTTGGTTGGGCTTCAAGGCTGGTTCACAACATGCTCGGTTTCCAGCTCGACATAAAGAAGAAGTATGAGATGTGGCGTATCGTTGGTCCACAACCTTTGAGGTTTTTACTGTCATAGTTTGAAAACCTCACTGGTCTAAACTGCGAGTACATCGAGGACCTTGAGAGACGAAATTGTGTTGTTACAAAGGAGTTGGCTTCTTTCTAATAGTTGTTGGGAGTTCATGTCCAAGCTGGGCCAACTACTGAATATATAATATCAGCATTTGAGAGATGTGAGGGGTGGTCTCAGGATGATCGCAAGCGGCTCGGGTACCTTGCCATCTTCACTAGATACACTGAAGGGAGAAAGTATTCAACCCCTACACGAGTTAGTCTGGCAAGACTAGTGATGGAGTTAGAACGGTTTGAGAATTTTCCATGGGGGAGAGTCCCGTTTAAGGTGCTGATTGACTCTGTGAAGGGCATATATATTATGGGTTGTTACACTGTTGATAGGTTTATACAAGTGATATACCATGATTTTGACCCGTTTTTAGCCATGGTATTGATATGTTTTTATAAGTTTTATATATGTTTTGGAGTCTATTAGGTATGTTTTCAGATTCAGGAGAATTTTGGAGTAAAGTGATGATTTAGGTTCCCTTTTGGAGCTTAAAGGAGAGTTTTTCGAGATGACTATGAAGATCAGACAACAAGGATACATATCGATCGATACACACCCTGTGTAATCGATCGATGACGCTTCCATAGAAGATGAAGTCGAGATACTCCATCGATCGATGTACACCATGTACCATCGATCGATATGATGCGTGGAGAACAAGTCCGACTTGGCCGACTTGAAGCCCAAGTCTTCCCAATATTACAATAATGCCCCTGACGAGTTTTTAACCTAATGGAACTCATATTTATAGTTTGCCTATGTATTTTGGCTAGACATGCTTTTATTGTTCTAGTGCTTTTTGTACTTCAAAAGCTTTACATGCTTTTTATGTTCTTTGATTTATAAAGTATTCTTTTCATCTTAATTTTTTAAAGGTTATAGAATTATAGATTTAGAAGAAACACACAAAGAGATTTGTTGTTCCAAGAACCAAAAGTTCAATCTTCTAATCTAATGAGTTTCTATTATTACCTTGCTGTTATGAATCTCTCAGCTATGTCTGAGTAGATTTCTTTGTTAGATTTATGGTTCAAATAGTCATGAGGGATTAGCCCCAACTATGGAATGTTGAATTGTTGATATTCATTATCCAAATGAACCCTAATGCTTACTCTAGATTAGCTACCTAGAGTATGATCATGGATGTGATTTAACTTGTTAAACATTGTCCTGAAATCATTTGGCATAAGCTTAGATCCTCTAGGGATGTGCGAGAGCCGGTTTATGATCTTGGTGAACACAGTTTCGATTCGATCTTATGCTATATCGATCGATACTCCTATAAAGTCATCGATCGACGGCAACCCATATCGTCCGATATAGCTGTCAAAACATCGTTCGATATTGCCGGCAATAAGATCAATGGATGAGTCTATTTAGCAACTGCAATTAGATCTGTCTAAAAATCGAAGTTCTTATATATCTTGCAAGCAATTCATTAAAACATATGTAGCATTATAATCCTAATTATCTGAATAGTAACCTTGAATCTAACTATTTTCTTTTATTGTTTTAAAACCAAAACCTATTCTCTTGAGCAACTTACCATTTCTCACAAACTGAAATTTACTATTTCAACTTAATCAACCTAGCATAATCACTTAGGATTACATATATTGTGTTCCTTAGTTCCCTGTGGATTCGATCCCTAAGTACTACAACTGAACCTCTTATTTGAAAGAGTAATTCACTTCTTAGGGTTTAACATTTGAGCGATATCAACAAGCTCTCCAAGTCTGGGTGTACACAGCTCTGCCGGAATTGGGTGCTAATTATGGAAAATGCATACGAAACAGACTATCTCCACCAATACTAGCTTACATGGGTGGCAAAAGGACGCATATGCTTTAAAGAAGCTATCTGCAGACAAGTATATACTTTAATACAAAAGACTTCGTAAAAAACTTATAATTAAGTCGTCTAGATAGTCTTCCAACTTGACGACTCAGTGAACGACTTATAATTAAGTCGTCCGGAAAGTCTTCCATCTATATGACTTAGTAGAAGACTTATAATTAAGTCTTCCGGGAAGACTTTCCAGACGACTTAATTATAAGTTGTCTACTAAGTCATCCAGCGGGAAGACTTTCCAGACGACTTAATTATAAGTTGTCTACTAAGTCATCCAGCTGGAAGACTTTCCAAACGACTTAATTATAAGTCATCTACTAAGTCGTCCAGTTGGAAGACTATCTAGACGACTTAATTATAAGTCCTCTACTAAGTCTTTTCTTTCCATCTTTCTTAATCCGTCAAATATCTAAGTTCATATCTTCTATTTACTGTAGACTAGGGTGATCAACTTTGTTGAGAAGGATATTGGTGAAATGTTTCCTCAATGGGACTTTGATGTTGAGGACCCGGCCGCAGAGAACATAATTAAACTCATATATAATCCGAGACCGTGGAAGTGGATCATGGATTGCTGGGAAGTCTCCGGTACTTAGGTCAATACAAAGTCGGCAGTTAAGAGTCCAGCAAAGAAAGCGATAGTTCTTGTGAAGGAAGACAAATACAGTCCAAGACCTCAGAAGAAAGCTCGTAAAGAGGCTAGTGAAGAGGCACCAGCAAAGGCACATGAAGAGGTTCCTACAGAGGCTCGTCCAGAGGTGACTACGACTGTTGGTGGGCTGACCAACGAGGATATTGAAAGAATGCTGAAGGATTCTTTGAAGGACATACTTGATGCGATGAGTGAAGGGCTTGGGACGTGCCTTAAGGAGATTAAGCACATGTCTGAAAAGGTGGAAGCTGTGGAGAAGATCGTTAGTATCACCAAAAAAGGGAAAGGGGCATCATCTCAAAAAACTAACTCTCAACCTAAAACGCACGAACCCAGGGTTAGTCATGCATCCTCTCCCAAC